GCGTAAAATAATAAACCCTTTTCTAGGCTCCACAGAATGATCTACCCTGATACGTATAACAGTATACGATTCTAATGAAAACGTAGAATAATATACTCTAGTGGGTAGAATAATAAATGTTTTTGATGAAGACTTTGGGTAATGAACCCTCAAATACGCGTTACATACCCTTTTCATTATCATATACCCTCATTGCTATAAACCTTTGAGTCCATGAACCCTTCCAGGGTATATGACATCGACGTAAACCCTTGAAGGCTTTATGGAGCCGTTTTTCTAGTGTAAGAGTTGATTATTCTACGGATTTTTTTCAGTGCATACCAGAGATGTTGACGGGTTAACCCGTTTTGCATCAACCCGCCCGACCCGTGACCCGACCAGTAACCCGCGGGCGGGTTGGATCTTTGACGGGTTACGGGTTAACGGGTTAGGTATTTTCAGGATTTACGGGTTTGCCCGGTCGGGTTATATTTTTACATGAACCCGCTGGTTCAACCCGTTTCAACCCGTTGACCAATTTTCCTTTTCGTCTTCTCATTTTTTCTTTTTTACATAGACTTACGTTCACTATTTGTTTCATTTCTTCTTTCCTCCGCTGGTTCAGCTGCTCTCACTATTTCTTTCGTTCTTCAACATTTAAATTTTTTCTATCACTTGTTTTCACTATATCTTCGTTCTATTCATTCATCTAATTGTTTTGAAGCATATACACATATAAATGCGCTTCTCTTTCTAAGCTTGTTTACAGAAATAATAATATCGATCAATTTTTTTCATTTCTTCACATTTTCCCCGTCCGCTTCTTTTTACATTGTATACGTGAACGTATGCTGTTACTTTCACTTGACTATTTATTTTCTTGAACTTAACTTGAAATTTTGTAATACTTATGTATGTGCTCAGGAATAAAAGATAATATCCTAATGATAAAAATGTTAGTTTCAAAACATACTAAAAAAAGAACCAATTAAAAAAAAGCTAATGAATTTTTTTGCAAATATTATACTGATTAAAGTTACATTAACCCGCGGGTTAACCCGCGGGCAGCCCGTGACGGGTTGATAATTCTTCAACCCGTAGACTAACCCGCGAGTCAAAAAAAAAATCGTTCAACCCGTCAAGCGGGTCGGGTTCGACCCTCAACGGGTCGGGTTTGCGGATCGGGTCAAAAAAAAGTCAGTCACCAACATCTCTGGTGCATACCCACACTCACCTCACCCACCCACACCCACACCAATATCCACTACCACACCCACACTCGTGCCCACAACCGCAACCCACACCCATACCCACACCCATATTTTTTTGAGCTATTTGCATTCAATGATTAGGTTTTCTTTATTAGAGATTTGTTGAAGAATTCGTTACTATAATAAAACTGATTATAAACGAAGGTAGTAGTTTATAGTAAAATTTGTTACATCCATGTTAATATGTACAGAACTAGCATAAGTTTTGTCCCAAATCATTTTGACTTATTATTAATGTCATCAATGTATTTTCGAATAGTATCATCAGACGACTTGGAATGAAAATGTTTAGTAAATAAAAAACAAAAATTGCCAGTATGAGCTGATACATTCCGAGATAATATCAAAGAATCCCTTAGTAAATTCAACGATGGAACATTCAAAACTATTCCACCGCTATTTGTTTGAGATTGTTACTATTCGATCGTTCATGATATGAAGTAGAAAAATCTGTTTTCTTTTGGCTTTTTGATCTGTGTTTGTTCTGTCAGCTAAAGAGAGGATTCATATGAAATATAATTGTGATTATGTGTGTTTACATGCATGTTTATATTCACGTGTCCACATATTTTTCTGCTTTTGTTCTTTCGACTGAAGAGAGGAACCATATGAAATACAGTTGTAATTATGTATGTTTACTTGCATTTTTGTAATCACGTGTTCACACATATTTCTGAAGTGTCAGACCAACTATTATAGATGGCTGCTTTGTGTTATACTTTCAGAAAATCAAATGTTTTCACTACCTAGGTCAAAAAATCTGATATCCGATCTTGCGCATACAAGATTTTTTATACGATCCTATTACAAGACCCGACAATATCGTATTGGTTTATTTTTTGTACAATTTTATCAGATTCTGAACAAAAGGTACCAGCAAACATCTTACAAGAATCATACCATACGAAACGTATAAGGACAGATATTAGGACACCAACCTGATCCGACACGACCATATATGTTCTCTCAGCAAAGAAATATGTATGGTTCAGAGAATATGGATCATAAATGATCATACAAAATTGCATACGAAAGTCTATCCGAAAACACATGCCTATCGATTTCACTCGATTTACTCGACAATGAAGATTTCTTAAGAGCAATGGTTTTTTTTTTTCTTTAACATCAGACATGTATTTAACTCACCAAGCGAAGACACGACCCTCTACGAGCAAAAGAAAAATCAACATTCAAGTGTCTAATCATTTCTACATAGGTATATAAGCCCATATAATAATACGTTGCAATAATGGAATACGAAAACAAAACCGAAGTTCCAAAGAAAAACATGACAGTCTAATGACCAATCCGGATACCATATTCGAGCAAATACAAGCAATTATGACTAATCGGTTCGCAGCGATGTCAGCCATAGGCGGCTTCTGCTATAACTTGCAGTGATTAGGAGGCCACAAAAAACAGACATTCTCAGAAATTTTCCTCATGAGACAGATTTTGTGGAAGTATTTCCGCCGATCATTTTGGCAAAAAATTTGAATTTAGCTAACAAATGATGTTATTCAAATGAAACTATTGAAAAATCTTAGGTAGATCTGTCGTTGAAGCTATAGCATTGTCGTTTATTTCTCGAATAAAAGCTTCTTTTACCCAAATGATCACCACAGATAGCTTCACAAAATCTGATCGACGAGCTAAATTTTGTGAGGACCTTTAGTTTTTATGGATCAGTATTCGTGGAGAAACCAAATTATACTCCTGAAGTCTTGAAACTTTTTACCATTCTGTAGTCTATTATATTCCTATAAACGTTTCAGCTGTAATCTCTCGAAGCACATATTGGACAATCCTGCAAGATAAAAGCGCCGCGAAAAGGTTAAAGAAAAGAGGCTGAGCTTGACTGACGTAATCAATGGGGTCTTGACGTGACCTATCCCTGTCCCCTTTCAAAACACTTGACCACCATTAAAAGGATCCGATACAATTAATAATCTTCTCCTAATTAGGCAATCACTGATTTTGGGTGTGAGTGTGGATATACATAAGAACAACACACCGTACCCAAAAGGTAAGTTTCATGCAATAAATTCTAAAAGAAAAAATCATTGAATTGAGAAGGTTGTAGATATGAGTACTTTATTTATCTTGTCGTCCACTCATACGAACACCCACACCCTTTTTCAATTTATTTCTTTGTTATGTTAGAGAAACAAGAGGAATAAGTTGGATTATCTGAAATGTTTATGCAATCAAGTTTTATTTCTTTAGTTGACACTGAAGAAAGCCTATTGTTGTGTACCATTATCTGTTTGTCAACGATGTAAACCACTTTCGATCGTATACAAATATGATTTTATTTTCTTTGTTCGTCATGTTTGTTGGTCTATGCTTCATGTTGAGTATTTTTCTGTTCTCATGCGCAGCGCTTCTGAAGAAAGTGCCTGGTTGAAAGCAATAAGAGAAAACAAGATAAACAAAGTTTTTTTTTATATTGCAAAGGTAATAAAAAAGTCCTCGAACAATCGAACGACGCAATTTGCATATACAACCTTTAACTAAGTTAGAAATTATTACTACTGAAGTTTTCCGAAAAATTCTATTCTGATTGTTGTATCTTGGTAAGTAACTTACGACTATGGCTTCTAAGCCGATCTTCTAGTCCTTTAAAAGTCATAGGTATAACAAATGTATGATTAGAATATTAATTACAAAGAATCAAGACAGAAATAAAACACATATTCATCACGGATTTTCGTTTATCTGATCGACTTATGATTTTTTAGTCAGAAATCTATTAAGTATATTTCTCTGTATGCATTATACACACCCTTATTGATTGAGCGGTTCTTTCTTATAGAATTCTGTCCACATTTTAGATAATTACCTTTCTAAGTGTATTTTATTCTATTTGTGAGCTTTTCGCGATTTTCAGTATTGAGACCCTAGTACAGGTCATCAGGCAAATTTGGATAGAAAATACTCGAATCTAATCCTAACATTACTTACGAAAAATCTGTCTATCTACAAATATTTATAACAATATCTCAGTTTAGAGCAGTGAACTAACGGATTTCTATAACAAAAAAAACGCTACAAATTTTATTCTTGATGACATTTCTTATTGATTCCAATACAGTGTTTCTAAAACTCTGATTTTCTTTTTTTAATATGGACAGAATTTTATTTTAATTTCTTCAATCAAACGAATTAATTATGATTTTGAAGTATAAAGGAATATTACAACAGAAAATGTAAAGGATGTAGTTTTACATTCGGTGACATCTACACAAGTATCATATGTATGGTAATTGATTTTCTTCACTAATATATATTGACTATATTGACATATCTTTCGTATTTCGATTCTCAACTGTTAATAAACATCGATGTTTGTCATGTGTTAAATAGTTCTGTTCTATAGGAAGTAGACAAAACAGGAGATACCTGAAGAAATATTTTTTTTTTCTTTTATAACACATAAAGGATACAACACGTGACAATGATAGTGCTTAAATCTGTTATGAAATGTATTGACCAATGAATTTATTCACAACTTTATAAAATCTATTGCAATTTTTTTCATTATAGAAAAAAAAAAGCTTTTTAAGATGTTTCGTTTTTTGGTAAGAATTGAATGTTAAGTCAATATCTAAATCTGAAGTTCTTAGAATTTGTTGGAAGAGATTTAAATATTTTGTTTTTTTAAATCGTACTTTTACTCATTGTTATTCATAGGAATTTTGTTTACAGATTCGATATTATTCTAAACTTACTGATTTTTCAAACATACAAATGAATGATCATCAAAATAAACCGAATCTATATGAACGTGAAAAGGAACCAAGTGACGATAATTTGCAAAAACCTGATATTTATATTAAATATTTACCATTCTATGAATCTATCAAACGACATGGTTTTGAATCATTTGATGAAATTCGAGAAAATCTATCTCGTACTATTCAATTAGGTGAATTGCATCCGAATTTCTCGGTTTGGTCAAATGCACTGAAACGATTCATTGACATTTACGGTTTCTATTTTACCAAAGTTCATCATCTCAAACTTATTAATTTTTATATATCTATTCTTTCCATTTCGGATCTTAATTATTCTCATGCAAAAATATGTTTTGATATGCTCTTTCAACTTCTACAGTTCGTATTTCATTTATTTTTCTTATAGTTGACAATAAAATTCTTTAGAAAAACTTGTTTAATTACACGTAATGAATTAACAATCGATTGGCGTATATTATATCGATGGGCTAAACTCATTTTATATAATCATGATGAACAATATTCATTAGTTAAATTACCAAAGTTCGTTTCTTTCATATTTTTACTATTCATAAGAATACTTCGAAAATTTTTCAGATTTATTGATATTTCGTTCAATTGTTGTATTGAATGCTGTTCTTCATACTTTTCGGTAACTGCTACTCAAGAAATTCTTGATCAATTTCGTCCATATTTATGTCCATATGATTCAGCCTTTTCCGATGCTATGAAAATGTTTGATTCATTTCTACCAATCGATCTACCTCCAGGTTTACATAATCAAGGATTTAAGTATGTGTGTTTTATTTTTAATCAATTTGATTCATATTATCTTTATTTTAGATTATGGTTAACAGAATTGTTTAATATTTGGGATTGTATTTATAATAATACTGATAGTGATTTATGGGAAATGGTTAGTTTATTTCTTCGTTTGTTGTTTTTCTTTTCTATTGATAACGCTGATGTTTTAGTATCTAGTTCATCTCTTTTCAAATCTTGCTTGGTATAATATTGGTTATATAGATTGGGAACCTTGGTTAGCACAGGTGACACACAATTGATATTTTAATATATATTTCTATTGTTAAAATATTTGTTAATATAGATTTTTACACGTATACTCAATCGTTTTTCACTTCCAATAGGAAAAAATAATGAATCACAAAATAGTTCTCCATATATGATGACAGATGTAGCACGATGGTTTGTTGCTATGATAGGAAATAGAAGTTCATGTCTTCAATATATGCATGAACTATTTATTGCTATTAAAACTTTTTATTATCCATCAAATACTGGAGAATTTCAAAAATATTTAATTGAATTGATTTTACAATTGACTGAACAATTTGTTGAACGAGTACGATTGTGAGTATAGAGAAATTCGTAGATATTATGTTTGTTTTTTTGATCACAAGAATTATACTAGAGAACGAAAAATTCGTCCTCATTGGAATTTTAAACCACATGAATCGTATCGATTAACTGAACAAAATATTACGAATTTTGTCAATTGTATTAAAGATTATGTATTTATGTCTATTTGTAATCAAGATTATATTGAAGATGCAGCTAAAGCTTGTCAATATCTTTCCATACTACGACCAGAATTAATTATACCACCGATTATGGACAGGTTGAATATGCTCTAATTCATTTTATATTGATTTTTTTTTCTATAGACTATTCTTATCAATTGATAATATGATTGAACCCGATCGTTTCACATTAATTATGAAATGTTTACCTGGTATTGTTCGTCAGATAGTACGACAAACAACAACTTATTCAGAAGGTCAAATTTATGTTTTACCTTTATTAATGTCTATATTACCTGGAATTGATTCAAATGATTCAGAAAAAGTAGAAGTTACTTTTGAAGTTCTTGACGCTATTCTCAAGCTAGTTCAATGTATTGATTGTTCATCGGCAGTATCCATACGTACCGATCTAACAGAAGTAAGATATTGATTTGTTGATAGACTTCTCCAAACATCTTTGTAAAGATTGAAAAACAAGTATGTTTATCAACAACACAATTTGAAGATTTTGTTACTGATTTTCTCAATCGAATATTTCAAATGATTTCTCGACGATCAACTGAAACATATGATGCTGCAGTATCTAACAATGAGATCAGTCAAAACAATAGAATTATTGAAATTAAATTAATATCAATAATGTCTAACATAGTTCAGCAATGTAGTAGTAAAATCTTTCAAGTATGTATAAATTCAGATCAATTATAATAATCATAATTGTCTAAATACTTGATCATTTTTTCTTCAATTTAGATAATACGTGATAAAATAACCGAGTTTATATCTGGTTCTATATTTTCGTATAAAGTACAAAAACTTATTGCTAGTTTTGTTCGAGTTATGGTCAAAGCAAACCTATCGAAATACTTGAATCATTCTTACCACAAACATGTGAACATATTGAAAATATAATAAATCATTCACAAATAGATCATAGAGGTGATATTGAATTAATTTGGTATTTAACTCTATTTTCGGAGCTTGTTCATGCTCGTAGTGGTACTTTACTTATCTATAAACAAATGATTATGTCTATATTTCATAAATGTATTCGTATTATTCATAAAGATTCATATGAAATTATTGCTAAAGCAGCTAAAAATTTATTACAATCACTTACTCAATTATATCCAATTCGTCATGGATTATCAAATAAAAATTCTAATGAATTATTTACTGAATTTTTACCTATTCGAGTAAGTTTTCAAAAATGATCAAGTTATTGACTTCTTTTTTTTTTGTTATTGTTAAGGCTTGGGGTCAACATATTGATTTTGATCAATTTCAAATACATTTTCATTTTCCTAATATAAATGAAATTAATTTTGCTTGTGAATTTGTTAATACATTTATTTATGATGAATTTCAATTATTAAATGAAAAATATTTACAACTATCGAATGATGAACGATTGAGATCGCTTAGAATAATTCAATACATAGCTATGGGATGTTTACATATGGTACCTAGCATTGAAAGTAATCTAATAACAGATCTGTAAATATAAATTAAGAATAAACATTAAATATATTGAATTATGGTTATTATAGTGTACCATCAGTTGTTCCTTATGGTTCAAAATATCAATTTCGATATCCAATCTATTCTAAAGAACCGAGTAAGATTCGAAGTAGTATTTGTAAGAAGATAAATTTTTCTTTAGAATTTAGAGATAATTTACGTATGCGTATTTTGATTGATATTGGAAATTTACTCGGTAAATATTCAATTGAAAATTGAATGTAAAAAAAAATTCTCTTTTTGGTTTTTTAGATATTCTTATAAAAAATCATTCGGATGATGTTGCATCAATAAAAACAGCAATTAATGTATATTTGAATTAATCTAATTGATTATCTTATTTTATATATTTAATTGCAGATCTATACACTGTCATCTACTTATTATGGTTCAACTCCAAATGATATACAAGCATTATGTATTATTATTAATTCAGATGAAAATTTATTCAAATCTAGACTTGGTGGTAAACGAGAAAATCCTCGATTTTTAATAGTCAAACAAATTATATTACATATCAAAGTAGAAAAAAGAAAAAACTAAAATTTATTTCTATAAATTATTATTGTTTATTGTTTTAGATATTTGAGTTATATTGCTTAGAAACTTTTACCGAAATCGATAAACAAATCGTATTAAAATTATTTGAATTATCAATTAATCGTTATAGTGAAGTATATTTATCTTTTTTTTTTTTCAAATGATAATACTCTTTAATTTTCTTATATTAGATTCGTTGTAATGCACAAATGAAATTGTTATCTATTTTCAATCAATTTAGTTTTTCATATCAAATTATTGTTGATTGTATCTATGAATTATTGAATAAACAAGATGAAGTTGATCATGATCAAATTAAAGTTTGTTATTTTTTTATTTTTCTATTCAGTAGATAATCTATATATATCTATAGGGTTGTCTTTATATTCTTCTTGGTGATGATTCTTTTTTCTTACCTATTCAACATTCATGGACAATGATGGAAAAATTATGGCCATCTATTATACGTTTAAGTCATACGAATAAATTCAGTATAACAAATATAATTAATGAGATTAGTAGTCAAATACTCGAAGAATTTCATACACTACCACTCATCGAAAATATTAATAAAATATCTATAGATTCAGCAGTAAGTTTATGGCAACAATTAAATCCAAATGAAATGAAAATAGATGAAGAATATCAAAGAAATAATATTCAATCTTATAATAATCTTATGGAAATATTAAATGCATTGATAAATGATGATAAATCGTTAGTTTTAGTTTTTAAATCTAATATATTGTAATTTATACTATATTCAGGACATGGAAACAACAAAAAATATCAATGTCATTCATGTGTCTTCTTCTTCAAAAACAAATATCAATTCCATTATCATGTATTCGAACATTTGTCAATTATCTTATTCATGATAATATGGAATTACGAAAGGTTAGTTAAGAAATTTTTTTTAGTAAAATTTACTATTATATTTATTCAGTATGCTATAATGGGCATGATAGCATTATGTCGTTTGCAAAAACCACCTCGATTTTATATACAAAAAACACTTGATGAAATTCTTGGTTATGAAAATTCAAATATCATTGATGAAAAATGTTATCCTGGTGATCGTGATGATAATTTATGGGTGACAATCAACAATTATAAAATACCAGATACACAAATTGAATGGGAAAAAATATGTTTTTTGGATAAATCTTTTCATGGTTATTATAAATGGCCAAAAATTATTGAATATTGTTTGAATAAACGTATACGTTACATTCAAGATACAATGCCAGAACAAGTAGCTATTTTATATGATCGTTTTGTTGATAAGAAATTTATTGTACAATTGATACAATCCGTAATCTTAGAGGAAGATGATGGTGATATAAACTTTAGTAAAAATCGATTCTTAATGTATAAGGTATATATTATAGTAAACATGAATTATGAAGCATTAGTGTTTTCCTCAATTCAAAATATGTAATATGTGTAGAATGAGAATATATATTTTATTATCTAGGGCCTTTTTCGTAATTTTGGTAATATATTTATGAAAAATTTTATGGAACAACTCTATGTACTTATTCATGAGACGATAAGTGAAAAACAAGAAGGTTGTCATCGTACTGCAGCTGAAATTGTAGCTGGCATAATTCGTGGTTCAAAACATTGGACATTAGAAATGGTAAATGAAAAATTTTGTCTATTGATTTGTCATAGATTTATTATAGCTTGATGAACTTTGGATGAAACTCATACCATTTCTTAATGAAGTATGGAAAAATTTTACTCATGAAAATCGTTATTATTGGGGTTTGTGCTTCAAATATGGTATGGTCAGTTAGTCTATGCTACTTTTTTAACGAAAAAATTTGTTTTTTTTTTCTAAGGAAAATCAAGATCCTCGTCGAATGTACCGATTAATTGATTATATTTGTTCATTGATTACGAATAATCATGTCATGGAAACTGCATTTGATGAAACATCTCGATGGTTTCTTGTTGAAGAATTAAAAACTTTTCAATGGCGTATTCCATCTATTTGGTGTATTATTAATAATTATGCTAAAGAATTACTTGATCATCCATTTAAAACAGTTCGAACGTATATTGCTGAGTGAGAAATTTCAAGTTGATTTCTTCAATTTAAGTAAAATTCGTGTTCGTTTTTAAATTAGTATATTATCAATATCAATTAGTTTTGATATTATATTACCAAATGGAAAATCAACACGACATCCTAAAATCAATCAATTTATTGATACTATATGTGAACAATTACATCAAGCCATTGAAGTTTATGAAAAAAATCCAATAGGTAATATATGATTTTTCTTTTATCTTAATTCAATTTGATGTCAATAACATTTCTCAGTTAATAATTCTGATCAAATTACTGGAATCGATCTTGAAACTCGTAAAGCATTAAATTTAATCGAAACAGGTATAGATATATAATATTTGATACGAAAAATAAGATACAATACTTTCATTTTACATTTGTTGGTTATTCATTCTAGTAATTCAAATACAAACATACTTATTTGATTGGTGTCAACAACCAGTTAAAAGTGCAACAATTCGTCTGTTTCCTCATGTAAGTGTATAGGATTAGAATTGTAGTATGCTGTTATATATAACATAATATCGAGAATGATTTTATTTGTTTCTTTGAAGCTTTGTGCAATTGAAAGATTTGTAGCAAATAATGATTTCTTCGAAGATACATTGACAACGAGTCTAACACATATTGCTATGAGCTATTTAGATACAAACTTGTTAAAAGCGTTTATTGAGCAATTAGAACTAGTATGTTATACGAAGATAGATTTTTATAAAAAGTTTTCTTCGCATGTTCTTATCACATAGATTTGTACGAGTTCTAAATGGCATGTGCGTCTAGCAGCCATTGAATTCGTTCAAATTTTAATATTTTGCAATCTATTCAATTCTCGTCCATATGCCAAACGATTAAATAAACTTTTGCTCAAATGTCTATTCGATGAACAATTGGAAGTACGAACAATTGCATCAATGACTTTATCAGGTTTCTATCAGTGTGGTTATATTGAATTAACTGTTAAAGATCTCGTAAGATGAATAATTTCCTCATTTTGAACTATTGTTTATTTTTCAATATGTATCTTGTTTCAGAACTATTTTGATGTTATGAGCAAGACCAATTATTTTACAAAAACTAATGACAAGAAAGTAATATCAGGAGAAAATATTATTAAACGACATGGTGGTTAGTATCTTTTATTGATGAAATCAAATCTATTTTTCACAAGTTCTAGATACACCTTATTCTTAATTATGATTATAGGTATTTTGGGTCTCTGTGCAATCGTTCTTTCGAGTTCATATGATATTTCAATGTATGTACCAGAGGCATTGGTACTTCTTTGTGAACATTTACACGATCCTGATCTCATACAAGTATATAATATTAAATTTATTATTATGTTAGCATACATAAGATATATTTGATTTTTAGACATCAATAAAGAAATGTTTGTCTGAATTTAATCGTACGCATCATAATTTATTGCATGAACATCGAGAAAAGTTCACTGAAGATCAACTTGCGATTTTGACTGATGCATTCATTTCCCGTAGTTACTACGCTTGATGATAAAATAACATTTTTATAGACTCATAAATATTTTATATTGTTTTTTTACGAGATCCACGGATTTCGATCGCATGAGTGTAACTAAGCATAGTCGATGGATTCATAATCAAAATCAAACAAGCGAAGACGATAACGATTGACTATTTTTACTTAGACTCTCAAAGCGTACACTTACACATTCAAATTGAATCGAAAAACATGAAAAAAATATCTCCAAACGGAGTTTTATTTTCTGAATGAATCTAATAAATAATTCGGTTAGATAATTTTCAAACACTAATGAACTCGTCTGAAAAAAAGGCCTTTTAAATAGTTTTTAGGTAATAGCTGAATTTCGCCATTTGTTATCAGGTAGGCTGATAATAATTAGCGGTAGAGTGTGGGTGTGGATATGAGTAAACGAACAAAAACCGACACCCACACCCACACTCCAGAATTGCAATAAAATGATGTGATATTTTTATTAAGTTGAATAATGATTAGTCGAGAAATTTTCTTTGTTTCACATCATTTATGTGAATAAACAAGAATAATACATGCATCGCGCATAACTGGACACTGAATATCGACGCAATAGACTGAAACACTGCATCTCGTAATATTTTGTGGCGATCAGAGTTAGTGAAGACTTTTAACTTCTGTTTTGAGTTGTTCAAGTCTCGATAGTGAGGATGGGTGAATAGTATTATAAGAAAATTACGTTCAACAAATATTAAATTTGCAATTACGAATATAGATTGGGTAACATTTGACAATAGCAAACATTTTAGTAACTGTACTGCGCTCAAATAAAAATATCGGAAAAGGCTTATTCTTGGATATAATGATCAAGTAACACCCTATTTTTGGTCGAAAGTACTACTGTATGTGTAGAACGTGCTGGTTAGCAGTCAATTGGCGGCTGTGAGTTTCGATGAAAAGAAGATTCATATTCAAACTACTCACACACCTGAGAATAAGACATGATGATAGTTTTTGTAGAAGAAAGAAGAGCAATTGATTAAATCTTAAGACTCAATAATACAATATTTGTCAAATTGTGGCTAGTTAATTAAAATAAAGTCGAGAGCATGAAAGAAAACTATTCATATGAATATCAAAACAAGTTTATATTAAGTCTCAGCATGGTCATACGTCAAGAAAAATCCTCAGTGTCTCGTAGACGTCAGGTTGTTTCTTCCAAAGCTCTCATGTTAGCTGGGGTGTGGGTGTTGATATAGATATTTCGAACATTCACACCCACACCCTAATAGATGATACCAACAGCGATAAGAAGTTTGAAAAGTCATCAATTTATAACCATGAAAAAGAAACAGGTCATCGTATGAACTGGAATAATTTTCAAATAGTATGGCAAGACAATCACTATTATCGTCTGTTGATTAAAGAATCACTACTGATTAAGGCTTATGAACCTGAACTTAACAGAACAACACACTCGGTACCATTACTTGTTTTTCCTGATCAGTGGCGTAGCGAAGGGAGGGGCAAATGGGCAATTGCCCATTTCATTTGGAGATTAGCCCATTGTAATTTTTGTTAATAAGCTTTTGCCCATTGAAATTTTATTTTTTTAGAATTGTTTATTTCTTTTTGGATTAAACACTGTTTGTATTATTTTTCTTCGGTCTAAATCACATATGCACTCTATGCTTCTTCTTTCCGTAAAGAATTAAGAAAAGACGAAGAAAAGAATCATTTCTTGTATTTTAACCGTAAGTATGGGTAAACGTAAGTTCAATTTTCTGGAGAAAAAACTAATCATATAAAGGTAGAAAAGAATAGATAAAAGAGAAGAGAAACAGAACGTATATAAGCATATAGGTTTGGCCAATCGGCTTGATATCCTAAGATTTATTTGCTCATGTAGATGGTATCAGTTATCAGAAAAATGTGAACTTTTTTACCAGTTATAGTATACAGATAATGCTAATGAATGGTTATTGTTTGAGCTGTATATTCTAATAAAAAAGCGAATTATCGATTGTTTTTTTATATCCTGTTTGTTAGAAGAACTCTGTATCAGATTTTTTACACATACATCGATTTCTATTAAAGTATTTCAAACAATATGAGATATCAATAACAAAGTTTTATTACTATGTAGTTAATTTGCAACTATATCCAATGTAAAATGTTGTATGCTGATAAGTGAAATATTCAGCCAATTGTAGAGTAGATAGAATATAAGCATCTTTGCAATTTTAACAAAGCTGGTAAAAAACCATTAATAGCTTCTTTATAAACAAGGCTCAAATAATAAAGAATTGAGAAGTATAGAACATCTTACGTCGGGTATAGTTGCAAATAAACTACATAGTAATAAAACTTTGTTATTGATACCTCATGTTGTTTGAAACAATTTAGTAAGAATCGATGTATACCCTTGGACAAAAGTCTTCTCCTCTTTATTTTTATCCTATCATACTTTGCATGAAATTTATTGCCAAATAAAGATATAACATGAGAGTTTTATTGCAGTGTGATCTATACACAATACTGCAATACAACTCTCATGTTATATCTTGGCAATAAATTTCATGCAAAGTATGATAGCATAAAAACACAGAGGAGGAAAGACATTTGTCCGGAGGTGTATCATATGGCCATAAGGGGACTCATGATCTCAATCACGCTTGATAGAAGTAAGAGATCATTTCAACATAGCCTATATGACTCAATTTTGCGAGCTGAACATGAATCTGAAGTCAGTTTTCAGGATTTCTAGATAAATTTGTAGGAGGTATTCCCTATGATCAGTAGATAGGGTAACCCACAGTATGGTCCATACTAACTTGGTCCTCATCCGGCCTTTTGTTCTTGACAGTTTAGTGTCAAAAGACGTAGCTTGATGAAATCTTTATCTGGTGAAAAAAGAACTCTAGGATCTTGTACATCCCGGGAGAAAACTCTAAAATACAGACCGCCCGGAACAAGCCATTTCTCGCGTTTTGAACAAGTTTCGACTGATAGTGTTTTTATCAGCTTATATGTCTAGGACTTGAATCGGATAAAGTTGTAGCCTAAACTGTTCTCTATAAAATGAGACGCTTCTGAGTTCAAACACTCGATCCGTTCGTGAGATAATGTCAAAATACTGAGCATACCCTCAGAACAGCAGTTTTTGAGATCAACAATGATTCTTTTAAACTTGTTTCAGCTCGCATTTTTCATAGATAAAGCGAAACGACTTAATATTTTGGATTTGGTTATGGTTTGCCTAGGCCTTTCATTTGAGATAAAAATATCGAAATATTCTTTTCTCCGGCGACCTTCGCATTGAGTAGTGTCTTCTCTCGCGGACTCTCTCTTAAAAATATCCAAAACACATCCGACTTAGCGTTGAGCTTCGAGTTTGATGCATATCTGGTTAAAAGAACCTCATTTTTTGTGGTTTTTTTACGTTATTAGTACTTTTTGGGCGAAGAAAATTTCTGGCCTATCAATAAAAGCATCGCCCATTTTGCCCATCATTTTTTTGCGACACTAGAGAAGTTTGCCCATTGGTCTAAAAATCCTGGATACGCCACTGTTCCTGATGGTTTACCAAAAGTTCAGTTACCTAATCTTGATCATTAATGATAATTTAAAATCATTCAATAATGTCGTTGTTGTCTCTTTTTCTGTTATATCTTTCTTTTTCTTTTTCTTCTTTTTTTTGTACAACTTTCTTAACACCTTAATAAATCTTGACAATGATGACATAGATCATCGAAACGTCGAACTATTGTCTTTCTTTCTTTCGTTACGAAAAGAAAAAATATTTTCAAAAAATGTTATACAAAACAGCTGTTATTTTATCATTTATTATGAATCTTGATTGGACACTATTGATATTGGAGAAATAGAAGAGTTATACACATAGCCGAACCACACCCATACTTAACACCAATATCAGCTTGTAGTTCTGCTCAAAATATACAAATTTTCAAGATCATATTTTATCTGATGTTACTCTTATAGTAAAAAGATTTTCTTTCCATTCATCAATTGAAGAGGAAAGAGAACGATTAGAACATGTATTCTGTTTATTTTTTCATTATGAAATAGTAACAAATGATATAACAAAAATAACAACTAAAAATGATCTTGACATGAACATGTTCCATCAGGAGAGCAGTGATGTATACAATTTGCATCACGTACTATTATTTTACATTGCCAAATTTTTGCAATTAGTTTAGTCGTTCGATCTAAAACAATAAATACATAAGTTACTAATAAAGATAGGAAAAAAAACAAAACAAGAAGAACTTACGACAATCGCCACAAACACGAAGATTCTTTGTGATCTGAATAAATGATGGATTTTCTTGCTGTAAGAAATGATAAGCGATTGCAAGTCGTTCGCTATGACTACATAATACTGATGCTATTGTTTCATCTTCACGTAAGGGACGAGTTATCCAACTGGCATCATATTTATGACCATGTTTCATCAACACATCGGATATATATTTTGCTTTAGCATGGATTTCTTCAGATCGAGGATGACTACGATCATTAGCAGTGAACTCCTGTAAAACAAGAAAAAATGAAAAAATTTCTTTTTTATTCAAATTCGACAACATTAATTAGAAAAATATTCTTACGAATATTTCGCCATTGAATTCTGTCCATGATACTCCAGGTTTAATTTTAGTTCCTAGTTCTTTGATTCGATTTGATCGAACATTTTCTGCTTGTTCACTATCATCTATAGATAAATATGTATTACCAAGAAGAATTGAACCAGACTTGAGTGTCTCTTTCTCATTAGGAAATAATATTTCCATTCTATCATAGATTTTTTGTGATAAAATATGTTGACGAGAATTACGTGCTCCAGATAATATTGCCACTAAAATCAAAGATAAATTACTATATAAAAAAATAATGCAATTTTCTGAACACTTACTATACATAACTGGAGAAGGTGAATTAGATTTTTCATAATCATCAATGAGATTTTGTGCTTGATCAAATATAAAAAGACGACTTAAACAATCAATCTAAATTACAAGATAATAATATTCATATTTGACAAAATAAGTAAATAATTAAATAAACAAACCATCGTAGCAATAATTTGTGCACTTTTCTGAGAAATTTCATTGAAGATAGAGCGAGCTTCATCAAGAAGACCCGAATGAGAACATGCATTTAATACACATACATGTGTTACTTCATTATGTAAATAATCAGGCATTTTTCGATATAAATCAATAGCTTCTAAACCCATTCGATTAAGTCCATAAACATAAACTTGAAAAACAAAAGAAATCAATAGAAATACAATGATTATAAAACAAACTATTTTTACTCATTGAATTATATGTAATAACATCAGGATTATTGATAGATAGAAAAATCTTCTGAGCATTCTCAATAGAACCAGCTTTTCCCTATGACCAAACAAAATGAGTGAATGAAATCAATTGTTGCAAAAAATTTGTACAATGATTATATACCCACATATATATTAATGAATTAAGTATACGTTGATTTTTCCATAAATGTGAAGGAATTTGATCAACAATTGATTGACATTTTGAAAGCATACTATGTCTTGCACATGCATTTATCAATATACTTAATACAAATTCATCCAGTATAAAATTTTGTTGTTTGATTTCTTCTAATAGTTGTAAGCATTTTAATGGTTTATTATTTATATTATATCCATTCATAATGACTGTATATGTCACAAGATTTTTGTTCCTGATCGTTCGAAATAGCTTCTCGCCACTTTCAATATCACCAAATTTCATTAGCATATCTATTGTCGAAGTGAGTAAAACATGGTCATCGTAAAAGTGTTGAGGCATTTGATCAAGAAGCTTTCTTCCGATTTTTTTGGCACGATCATTCAAAAGTTGTGCACAAGCATTGAAAACAATTATATAAATTACATTATTGGGATACAATGACATTTTCTCAAATAAATCTAATGCTTTATCACACATTTTATTTTCCACATATCCTAAATATCATTTAATGAATATTTAATAAATATTTATTACGAATTTACCTTTCATCATGGCACCATATGTAATGATATCTTTATTTTCGATCATTTTGAAGAGATTTTCTGCATTTTCAACATCACCAAATTTCATTAACATATCTAAGGCTGAAGTGAGTATAACATTATCATTATGAAAATGTTGAGGTATTTGTTGAAGAAGTTTTCTTCCAATATCTTTCCCTAGTGAATGTACTCATTCAGAGAGTACGACTTGTCAGCATGAGTACTCAGATTACTCGAGCGAGTACCCTCAAAAATTCATGAGTATATAAAATGACTGAGTACTCACATACGTACTCAGACGAAGATTTCACTATACATCTACTCATAGGCAAGACGCTGAGTACTCATTGTAGTACTCGTCGTCTTTTTTTCTGAAAAGACTCAATATACAGAACGGAATGTGTTAGGACGAAGAATATGTCGTGCGCTGACTTTCTATCGATAGTAGGTTCACAATTTTAACAAGACAATTTCCTTCTGTGACTGTGATGTTGCAGAGAAGCGGACTTATCCAGAGTCTACGAAGCCCCTCGAAGGGCAACAAACTCGGACTTTAAATGGTTCAGTTGCTACTAACTATAAGAAATGAATGATTGTAGTACTCAACCAGAATACACTGGCATGAAAGTAACGATGTGTAGTACTCATTTACTCGAAACTCATAGTGAGTACGACCGACCAGTACTCAAAAGTCCCGAGTACTCATGAGTACTCGCGGCATTTTCTAGCGTGAGTACTTTTTGAGTACTCTCTAGGTGAGTACTTTCACTAGGGTTAGCACGATCATTCAAAAGTTGTGCACAAGCATTGAATATTATAATATAACCAACATTATGAAGTGGAAAAGGTATTTGTTCAAATAAATCTAATGCTTTTTCACACATTTTATTGTCCACATATCCTAAATATAATTTATTAAATATTTGATAAATGTTCATCACAAATTCACCTTTCATCATGGCATCATACGTAATAACATCTTTGTTTTTCATTGTTTGAAAGAGTTTTTCAGCATTTTCAATATCACCAAATTTCATTAACATATTTAATGCTGAAGTGAGTAAAATATTGTTTTTATGAAAATGTTGAGGCATTTGTTGAAGAAGTTTTCTTCCAATATCTTTGGTACGAGCATTAGCGACTTGCGCACAAGCAGTAAATAGAATAGTTTGAATAATATGATCAGGTTGAATATTCATTTGAAGAAATAAATCGAGCACTTTTTCTGGCATTTTATTTGAAACAAGACCTAAAAATAAGTTCACATTTGAAACATGAACATAAGAAATATAGAAGTTTACTTACCTTTAAACATAGTTATATACATATAATCTGATTTGTTTGTTATGGTTGAAAACAGACGATAAGCATTTTTCATATCATGATTTTTTATTAGGAAGAAAAATAAAGTGACATGATAAATTTTTTTCCGACGTATCGTTCGTTAAAGTTTTTGAAAATAATATTTTCAATGATTAGATGCATCAAAAAGACCTGTTTTTCTAACGTTTGTCTTGAGTATTTCGATGATTTGTGTTAAATAGAAATCGTTTTCAATGAATAAGAATGAGTTTCTATAGAATATATGACAAATTTTTCTCTGTAGACAATAAACTTCGATCATTTCCTGTTGACAGAGCAATAATTGATGAGATCAATATGAAATTTTGTAAACCTATTACATATGACTTCTAATTGTAGCATTAATATAGTAACTAAGTACTTGTTCACATTTTAATATATATGTATATGATGATCATGATCAAATGAAAAAGATAATCAGTTTTTCGAATTCACTTTCATAATGGAAGTAGAAGGGTACCTTTAGTTGAAGATATTCTTTAGAATATTTGGTTCTTCACGAGACTGCATCAACCAATAGAGGAATTTAACAATGTGTCTGATAGGGAAGAGTTTTGTATTGATTATCAGCAATGTTGATCATGATTAGTAACGATCAATGTATAACATGATGTTTTTTTATGAGAGGTTGTTTTATTATTCTCATGATTGAAATAGTCTATCGAAAATGAAGAAGAAACTCTGAGAGAAATGTTCCATTCGAGTTATTCTTTTAGTGAACATATGAATATATGTTTTGAAATATGTTTCTTCATCTTTCGTGATGATCATGATTGTAATCTAGCTCTTCAGGAACTTGTAAATAAAAGAATGTTTGTAAACATTCTTGTTTTAGATACCTGGTCTTTTGAAATCTTCGGCGTTGTTTTATTACTTGCTAAAAAGTAGAGATAAGCTTTCTTTTGTACAAATTGAGATTGAAGTTGATACTTTTCATGACTGGTTTTTATTTATCTGGCTATTTGTATTATTTCTTAGAGACAAATACGAGTTGAATAAATCTAGTCAAACATCAAATTTTAGAAAAGCAAGAAAAAATTGATGTTGATAATGAGAACATTTGTCAATGAAGAGATACAGCAATATATATTTATCAGATTTTGAATTTATATTAGCTGTTAGAGTAAATAATTAAAGAGAACTAACTAACAAAAATGACATTGATCGATTGACTAATCAAACAAAAAATATTCAAGAATTATTTCAAATATAATATTAATAAAATCGTAAATATTAGTTTTCTTTAATTCGATTTGAAAAATTCAATAGATAATTACTTTTTACTTTGCTCGAAAGAAAACATGTCGTAAAGTAATATAGTGCATATGTCGAACCGTAGAAATACTAAGATTGGAAATAGATGTATATGAAAATCTCTTTCATACGCAGATTGTTTTCTATATATTTCTATTTACTCTTTGTGTTTTATGATTTCTTTTTAGAGGCTTTTTACTTTGAATTGCACTCACGTCAGACTTACTGATTCAACAATGAAAAGAGTCAAATTATTGAGATAAGTGAAAAAAAAGGTGACCGATAGCAGAACTAGAATAGATCTACTAGAATTACATCTAGATCCTAGAGAAAAACAAGTTACTGACATTGATTCGTGACTAAGAATGAAAAGACTTTCATCTCTACAAAGGTTTTCTAATTAAACAACATCTATGTTTACTATGAAAATATTTCATAAAAGAAGAAAAAAGAAAAAAAAATCATTGAGAAGTACAAATATTGATCGAATCTTTTGAAAACTTAATTAACTTGTTAATCCAAGTGATTTGAATATATTCTTATTTTATTAAGTGAGAATCTCGGTAAAAAAAATCAATCAATACTCATTATAGAATTGTAACAGTGCTGTTTGAATATAAAAATTGCTTAGTGATTTTAATGAAAGTTTTTGTTCGATATTAATGATACGTTGATGTTCATTTAAATAATTGCATGCTTTTATTACCATATGAATAACATCATCTGTACAATAATCCAATTGTTTATCGAATAGAGCTAAGACTTGTTTATATTTTTTATCATCCATTAATTTTTTCACTGCTGAATAGATATTTTTCGACGATATTGACGATGAGAATGGTGATGAGATAAATTGTATTGTACATCTTTTTTGATAAAAAGATAAAATACAACGAAACATTAATGAATTATTTATCATTCATAGATTATATAGTGTGAAACAAAATTCATCTGAAATTAAGAAGAATGAAAAACTGATTTTTATATTTCTTCAATTGAAATTATATTCATTTAATATATGACACTTTCCAAGAAGATTTTTAATATGACTCTAAAATAAAATATATTCGTACACTATGTTTTTTATTTTGCTTTGTAAGTTTGCTAAAATACAATTGGTTGAAATAGGTTTCATACACTTTGATTTCATTTGATCATGTAAGTTACTTAATTACCCTCGCTAATATCTAACATTCGAAAGAGGGCGTTCAACATCAGTACATTTTTATGTTTGTATTATCTATAATACATTCTTCATTGAACAAATGAAAAGGAAGACTTACATTGCATAGTAATCTGTATCTGATACTACAGTGAAATGCAATATTAATCGTAAATCTACAAACTTAGCACAGAAAATGATTATCCACAATATTATCGGCTTATAATAACGTTAGAATGAAGTAATTAGTTTGGCATAAATCTTACTCTTGACTCAAACTGGATTCTCATCAACAGTAGCCAAAGTCGTTTTTCGTTCGTTTAAAGTAATACTTTTGGATATGTGTGTTTTAGATAAAAAGCATTTGCTGGTGGCTAATTGCTGAGAACAACTAGATCAACAACATTCTATTGATACTGATAAATTGTTAGATTATAAATGAATTAGATAATATAATTAAGGTATATTAAAATAGTAGTAGTCGCAGTATCTGTATATATATGTACAGATAGATCACACAGTGTCAAATAATTTTATAACATTTTATCATTCTTCATTTACTATAACAATATTAGAATTTTAATTAGAGCTGTTCAACTTTAATTTTGTTGCTGTACTTATATGTATATTACACCGCATTTTATTGTCATTAAGTAGATTTCACCACTTAGAACAATTTAACGATAATAATATGAATGACTTAATGATATAATCCTCCCTAGTGAAGGTATTCATCAAGAGAGTACTCAAAAAGTACTCACGCTAGAAAATGCCGCGAGTACTTATCAGTAGTACTGGTGCTAGAATCTGAGTGTCTGAGTACAACCATCGAGTACTCGTGCTTAAAATTTGAGTATCCGAGTACGACTATCGAGTACTTGCCGCGTAATTTTGATCATTTTCTGAGTACTCAAATATCGTTTTAGTGTACTTCAGTAATTTATTTAAAATACTGATAGATTTATATGCTGTTCAGTACAGTTGTACTCCATTTATTCTATTTAAATATATAATTAATAATAAAAAATACAGTCATACATTATGAAACTTTGAGAAAAACATGAAAGTTGAGAACTAAATATGCTACATGACGCCAACTTTTTTGTTAGACAGAGTATAGAAATGAATTTTTATCTTTAGAACATAGAAAAGGAGTAAATAAAAATAAGTATTGAGAACAATACAACATCAGTAAAGAGGAAGGATAATAAATTATTGATGAAATTAAGATATACAATAACAACAAACGTATATTATACATCATTGCGAAAAAAAAAACTCACATTTTACACTCATAACTACAGAGTGTGCCAGAAATAACTTACTCAAAAGAAAATCGCCCAGGTCGAACTCACCATGCCGGATCCTATCATATCCGTGATCATCCGACACTTTTCGACAGTCGGAAACCTTCATTATCCGTTAATTTCCGACGTCGGACATCGTCGGATTCTGTCGGATTCCGGCGAGAGGATCCGATGAAATTCGATAGTCAGAAATTGTCGGATCCGATGAAAATCGACGACATGAAAGCATCTAATTTTGCCCATTCAATTTTTTATTTTTAGATTGTTTCCAATGATAAATCAAACAGTAAGTACTAATTTATTTAAATAAATTTTATTTTTTATTTTAGATTGTTTGCAATAATAAATCAGAGAGTAAGTATTTATTTATTTAAATTATTTTTATTTTTTATTTTAGATTGTTTACAACGATAAATCGATAAATCAAACAGTAAGTATTTATTTATTTAAATAATTTATATTTTTTATTTTTAGATTATTTACAACGATAAATTAAAAAAAGTTAGTATTTATTTATTAAAATAAATTTTATTTTTTATTTTAGAATATTTACAACGATAAATCAAACAGTAGGTATTAAGTTATTTAAATAATTTATATTTTTTATTTTAGATTATTTACAATGATAAATCAAAAAAAGTAAGTATTTATTTATTAAAACAATTTTGATTTTTTATTTTAGATTGTTTCCAAGGATACATCGAAAAGTAGGTATTAATGTGGGTGTGGGTGTGTGGGGTGTAGGTGTGGGTGTGGGTGTGGGTGTGGGGTGTGTGTGGGTGTGGGTAGGGCGTGGGTGTGGGTGTGGGTGTGGAGTGTGAGTGTGGATGTGGGGTGTGGGTGTGGAGTGTGGGTATTAATGAAACGAAATTTCAACCCCACACCCACACCCACCCACCCCTACACCCGCAGATACCGCCGTCTCTAAAAAGAAAAAGACGAAAGAACCTGGCTGCTTATGTGGACCCTTTAGCGCGGGCCCCAACGGGCGATAAGCCTATGGGAAATATTATTATATTATATTATTATATTTATATACAATGATTTTCTTCTATGAAATCATTCAACACTCCGGAGTGCACTAATTATTTATTACAATGCATTTGTTATTACTATTTATATTTTATAAATGTTATTTCAAATGTTAATAAGGCATGTTGCTTATACTGTTTTTTTCAATAAGAAGAATCGAGGGATAGTAGTGAGATAAATCAAAATTAATTCTTTTCTTTTTTTATAATTGAAAAGTTCTAGTGACCAATAGAGCTTTTCAATTACAAAAAAGAATGTTTTTTTTTCTTTCGTGAGGGGGTATCTTTTTTTTTCTATCACAGCCTGTCAGGTGGCTTCGTAACCTGACCCAGGAAGATCTCTTTATGTCTGTGATGGCGAAAGCAGTGTTGTACTCTGAAAGGCCTTCTGTGCGTAGGTCCCTGTTGCCGTTTACGTACGACATATCTACGCGCATGCCCAACCAGTCCGGCGTGGTCCGCTCGGCGTGTACCCATGGCAGGCGTACAGGGGTCTTTCTGGTCGCGTGCGCGTGTACGCGAAAAGGAGCCGAGAAAGAAAGTGAATAGCAAATCAATTTATTGAGCAAAGAAGAAAAATAAAGAACAATTACATTTTCTTTCGAATTTTTTCAAATGTTTCTTTATATTTCAAAAGACGTGGATGAGTTGAAGGCAATTTTTCTTGTGCAATTTCTATCGCTTGTTGAACATTTTTCATTGCAATACTATATTTTCGAGTAGATAAATATAATTTTGCTAAATTGTGATATACAATAGCTAAATCAGGATGATCTTTTGGTAATTTCTTCCCACGTATTTCTAATCCTTTTTGAAAATATGTCAATGCTGTTGAATAATCTTTTATTTCTCGATATGTTTCACCTAAATTTATATATGTTAATGCACAATCCAAAGGATTACATTGCACATTTTCTTGAATATTTAATGCTTTTCCATGAAATGAAAGTGCCTTTTCATAATCACTCATTAATCGATGAACATCACCAATATTACTATATGCAATAGCTATATGTGGATGATTTTCAGGTAAAGCCTTTTTCCATATTGAGAGACACTTTTCGAAATTCTCAAGTGCTTTTGGATAATCTTTCATGCTGCGATAAATCTTTCCAAACCAGTTGTATGGAAAAGCCAAAGCAGGATGCTTCGCAGGCAATACTTGTTTTTTGATTTTCAAGTTATTTTTAGAATATTCAAGGGCTTTCGAGTAGTCACCCATGTGGTAATACGCTGAACCAATGTTGTTGTAGGAAAGAGCCAAATCGGGATGATTCGGAGGCAGAGATTTTTCTTTTATTTTATGTGCTTTTTCGTAAAATTCAAGTGCTTTCGAGTAGTCACCCATGTTGTTATACACTGCACCAATGCTGTTGTAGGAAGCAGCCAAATCCGGATGATTCGGAGGCAGAGCTTTTTCGTAGATTTTATGTGCTTTTTCGTAATATTCAAGGGCTTTCGAATAGTCACCCATGTCGTGATACACTGAACCAACGTTGTTGTAGGAAGCAGCCAAATCGGGATGATTCGAAGGAAGAGCTTTTTCTCTTATTTTAAGTGCTTTTTTGTAAAATTCAAGTGCTTTCGAGTAGTCGCCCATGTTGTTATACACTAGACCAATGTTGTTGTAGGAACCAGCCAATTCGGGATGATTCGGAGGCAGAGATTTTTCTAAGATTTTATGTGATTTTTCGTAAAATTCAAGTGCTTTCGAGTAGTCACCCATGCCGTTATATGCGAGAGCGATGTTGTTGTAGGTACTAGCCAATGAAGGGTGATCTTCTGGTAGAGTTTTTCGTTTGATTTCGAGGGATTTTTCGTAAAATATAATCGCTTTTTCATATTGGCCTTGTCGTTCTTTCACTCTACCTAACTCGTAATAGATATATGCTTTATCGCAGTCCTCGGAGGTCTGTTCTAGTAATGCCGTGTACAATACTTCGGCCTTGTCAAATTGACCTATTTGAAATAGCAATTGACCCAATCGATACCATCCGCTACCATCGATCTCTTGCCGTATACGATCAGTTAATTGACGTAGTTGTTGATCGTCATCTGCTGTAAGTTTGAGGTCCACTTCATAATGTGAAGTGTTCTTGTCAATTTTTCGAACTTCACCAATTCGAAAAACTGTGTGCATCGAGAAGAGTATTTCATCTTCTAGTACAAATTCACTCAGCTCTCGAATAGAGGCGAAGGGAGTCGATGATTCTTTAGGATCGATTGTCATTTGAAAAAGAACACTGACCATATCTGTTGTTCCTAAGGAATCCTTGGCGAAGCCGAGAGAAACATTTCGATTTTTACTGGTGGATAAAAAGTTATTGAATGAAATAAGTCCACCTTTACTTTTAGTAATCTTTTCGAAGTCTGCCTTCTGTAAGCCCTGTCCTCGATAAACAAGAAAGATCTTACCATGGTATTGATTAATTTGTTTTCGATGTAAATCTTCAATTTGTCGGTGCACATCACAAAGGTAAAACCCCATTCGGATAATGATGTCACCATCGAGCGTTCGTAATGCTCGATTTAGCATCTTGTACGTGAAGCATTGGCGTGTATACCACCAAATAGACTTAGATGAACGATAGTTACGTTGAAATTCTTTAATAAATTGGAGTTCTTCTGGATTGCCTTCATATTGTTCTTGGCAAAAAGTGACCAAATCTGTGATGGCCTGTTGATCATGTTTCATAGCAAGGAGAATTTCCTTGAATATTTGTGTATACATGAAAGAAGGTTCTAGCCGATTGAGATCTTCGCTAGAACCTCCTTCATTGACACTAATAATATTAACAGTTACCTGGTCTTGATTACATTGCTTGACAGCCACTGCCAGTTTTTCACAAATGTGTTTCATTGATGTATGCACGCCTTTAATTTTGGACCAATTTTTGGCCCATTCTTGATGGCGTTGTTTGTTGCCGCAGAAGATGTATATGGCATCTAGTTTTGGCATGCCATGAATTTCTGGGACCAGGTTTTGTCCGAGTGCTCCCGAAGAGATGACAAATGATGTCTCTTCGTTGTTTTCTTGGAGCTTGTCAATGCATTCTTCGACTGTGGTGCATGGATTTACTTCATTAACAACACTACGCAATTGAGCGAGTGTGTTTTGGCAATCTTCATTTGCCATATTGATATTATTGTCGACCCAAATCACCAGATAATTTTCAGCCATTCGTTGCCGTCGTTGTCGACTCATTTTGAAGAATAAATTTGCTGTTGAATCAGTATTGAGTACAATGAAAAATTGATGGCTATTTGGATAAAGTTCGCCTTTTCTATATATATTAGGTGTTGACTGTTTATTAAAATTCTTCTACGACATAAAATGTGGGTGTGGGTGTATGTGTGGGTGGGTATGGGGTGTGGGTGTGGGGTGTGGGTGTGGGTGGGTGTGGGTGTGGAGTGTGGGTATGGTTGTGGCTGTGGCTGTGGCTGTGGGTGTGGGAGTTAAAAAAAGAAATAAATTCACACCTACACCTACACCCACCCCCACACCCACACTCACACCCTAATTTGACGCTTTCGATTGTCGTAGAAGGTGTTACAGCCGGAATGGCATAAAACATGTTTTTCTTTTCTTTTTCGGTTAGTTTTTCCGAGAATTGCGCGTCATTTTTCCGCGATAAAATTAACAGCAAACTGAGACAACGAGTTTAGTTCACCTCTTTTTTTACCTGTCTTATTTCCACGGTTGTCGGCGATTTCACAGAAGCAAGAGGATGGAAAAAACTACTTCATTTTTCTTTTTTTCAGTCGGTTATTCTGAGTATTGCTCGTTGCTTTTATGTGAAAACCCAACAAAGAAAGAGGAAAGGCTAGTATAGTTTATTTGCTTTTCGATTTGCTTGTTGCGATTTTTCCCGTAGATGTGACAGCCGCAGTAGGATCAAAAGTCATTGTCTCTTCTTTGACACATAGTCATTGCGAGAGTTTCTCTTTATTTTTCCATGAAAAACTTGAGAGAGAAACGGAGGAATGAAGTTTAGTTTGCTTCTGTTTTTATTGGACTTATTTGGATAGCTCTGAGACAGTTTACACAAGCAACAGGATGAACAAAAAATTGCCTTTCTTTTTCTTTTTTTCAATCGGTTTTTCTGAGTATTGCTCGTTACTTTTATGTGAAAACCCAACAGGGAAAGGGGAAAGGCTAGTATAGTTTATTTGCTTTTTGATTTGCTTGTTGTCATTTTTCCCGTAGATGTGACAGATGCAGAAGGATCGAAAGTCATTGTCTCTTCTTTTATAGCCAATCATTGCGAGAGTTTCTCTTTATTTTTCCATGAAAAGGTCGGGAGAGAAACGGAGGAATCTAGTTTAGTTTGCTTCTGTTTTTATTGCACTTATTTGGATAGCTCTGAGACAGTTTACACAAGCAAGAGAAGGATGTGGGTGTGGGTGTGGGGTGTGGGGTGGGTGTGGGTGTGGATGTGGGTGTGGGGTGGGTGTGGGTGTGGGGTGTGGGTGTGTGGGTGTGGGTGTAGGTGTGGGCGTGTGGGTGTGTGGGTGTGGGGTGTGGGTGGGGGTGGGGTGTGGGGTATGGGTGGGTGTGGGTTTGGGTGTGGGCGGGTGTGGGTTTGGGTGTGGGTGTGGGTGGGTGTGGATGTGTGGACATGGATGAACGTCTTCTCTCTAACTACACCCACACCCACACCCTTGGATATCACATGAACTAATCACATTTCATTTATTTTTAAAATTTAGCGGGATTTTGTTCGATCATGTCAGTTGCATTCTAGAATTACTAGTAATGGGATATGGATTTATTTTAGGTAGGACAGTCATAAGTCATCTGATGCTAACTGGCTTATTGAAGATGAATTGTCAAGGACTATTGGTCATGAAGACAGATGTGAAGCAAAACTTTGTTTAGTATATCCATTAAATCAAATAGTCCTGAGTGTAGATAAAGGCAAGACTGTAGATCACAAGTATTATATTGAAAATTCTCTGAACCCTTTTGTTAATGAAATACGGAAACAAACATAGACATCAGGTTCAAAATGTACAAAATTGCTTAAAGATGATCGTTGACTTCATACTCATCTGATGTTATTAATTATTTGACAGAAGAAGACACCAATATAATGTCATAGCAGTCACCTTCGTCAAGCCTGGTACTATGTAATTTGTGGCTAACTAATTTTATCGAATGTAGTTTAACTGATTAAATAAATGAAATATGATTAGCTCATGTAGTATCCAAGGCAGCTAAAAATTTTTTCGAAAAAGACTTCAAAAAAACTTTTGATAAATTGTTAGAAAGGATTGAACTTGATATAAATAATCATGGCAACTATCCTCAACATTTGATAAAATAAAATTAAAAATATCTTCTTATCTTTATATTTTTATTTAATATTGTGGGAACTTTTGGTCAGACCTAAGTATATCTTGTCTAAAATGCAGAGCCCTAATGAGTGTTTTAATATTTTAATAAATAGCACGAAACGCGTCGGCAGCATTAACCCTGTATTTCTTTTCAATTATTTTAATCAAAGCACATTAATTTTTTTTATTATTCTATTTTAATTTGATTTTCGACTAGGTCGATTGCTGAAAAGCAAGAGTTGAAAGCAGCAGATTGATTTGTATGATAAGCATATAGGTCGATCTGTTTTCAATTGATTTACGCACACCAACACCCCATACCCACACCTACACCCACGTCACAATGTATTTTATTCTCTTATAGAACGGCGTTTCACGTTGTACGGCAATGTTCTAATCATGAGTTAGAGAAAATTCGTATGGATTTGACGTTTACAGTGACATAGAGAAAAACGAACTCAGACTTGCGTCGTGCTCGATTTCCAAAGTTTGCTCCTTTTTTCATTGAACACCTTAACGTATGATTGCGAGGGCATTATAAAGATGGCAAAAGTAGCTATGTGTGGAATAAGTGAAAGTATGTAGGCGACGATTGCAAGTTTCAGTTCCCAGTCAGATTTGATACATTTGATGGTGAGCATAACAATAAGCAAAGGAAGTTTAAAGGCGACCATGAGAAGAGGACTGATGATAAGATCTTTGTGTTTATGAATTTGCTTCATCAACATTTGCCAATAATGCTTATTGGTGTTGATAGATTTTTTAGTGCGTGCAAATGTTAAAAGAAGAATAAGTGCGCACACAAGATTGATCGCAAATGGTCCAATTGTGTTGATCAGACTAAGGATAATATCGTAGGTCTGTAGCCAGGCATGGCGAAATTGAACCACACACCAGAGGCGTTCGTCATTCCGTGGATCGATAAGAAGTACCCGGTTTAAAGGCTGATAGATCAAACTGAGCACCAGAATGATAAAAAGTATTGGCACAACGAATTTAACAGCACTCACGCTCACTTGTCGATTAAAATTGATGCCTTTGAGAACGCCAAAAGTGCGTTCGAATGCAACGCATGCCGTCAGACAATCGCATAAACATGTCAATAGTTTCAAAATGAAATCGAACAGAGTGCAACTGACAGTGAGAAAACGTTGACTTTCGATGATGGTCATTTGACTTACGAGCATATAAAAGAAACGTGCCACGAATATGACCAATGTAAGTAGGCAAGTATTTGAAAGAATAAACAAGTAATTACCACAACCCACCTGACGAATACTTGCATGGATGAAGGTGAAACCAGACAAAGCATTGGACACAAAACCGATAATAAACATGAAAACGACTAGCACCATTAAAGTCTTAACAATTGCAGGCTGTTGAGAAAGT